AGGGAAATGCTTCAGATACTCTCTGAATTTAGTTGGTTGTTACATCTTGTCTAAGCTTACTGATTTGAGCAAAATGCTCCCACAGCAATATTGCTGATGTAGTGGCTCTCAGCAGTGGGAGCAGCAAGCGAGCTGCAATGCAGAGGGCTCCAGGGGCTTCTCTCGGGGGCCTGTGGGTTACATTTGCTGCAGGTATGTTGGATAGAGTACGGGCTTCTTTTGGGGGGCACAGGCTCTCTGCTGCTGTCCACTGTGGACATGCAGTCTGTGTRTAAGCACACGTCTGACCTCATGGTGTGTCCCCCATGAGCTGCTCCAGAGGTGCTGCAGTTGGAATGATCTGCAGTGTGGAATGGGGTGAGGAATCATCCTCACCTCCACGTGCCTGTGGAGGTGAGAACAGCAGTGGATGTTTTCATTTAACATAYCAAATGATATATCACAATTCATTTAGACTGCTGTGAAGACTAATTAGAAAATCAGGTATCATAAGGAGTAGTGAATCTTCTAATTAGGCAGGATTTAAAACCTGACAGAAAATCAAGATGTTGAGGATTATATTGTGGAAGAAGGGACCTTCCTGCTCAGCCGCTTCATGGGTGACCAGATAAATGCCATGTAAGGGTAGGCTRCCACCCTCTATGCACTTTCCCTGGTTGCTACAAGCACACAGGTAGCACAGTCCACTTGATGAGCTGCCTTTCTGGCATAAGGAGTTAAGTGGTCAGGATAGCTTATTAGACCGACACTGGTGTCTGTCTTCATTACATGTTGTAGGAGAGAGTTATCAGGGCTGTGACACTTAGGTCTCATGTTGTATATGGCGTGGAGCTTGAAGGAATGAAGTGGGAATGATAGATGAGCAGTGTATCTTGTGGTTCTCTGTGCATTGGGTGGGTGTCCTAGACTTCTGCACGCTGCAGATCACATAAATGCTGGGACAAGCCCCAGTCATTCTCCTCCTGCCCCAGGACAGTCCGTGGCAAATGAGCTTTGATCTAGGCATAGGCTGGTGATAGTTGCAGAAGTCAATCCCAAGGCAAATTATAAATATTTGCTAATCTAACTATTGGATGGGAAGTTAAGGTGAAGATTGGGTATTGTGGGGTAATATAAACTTGTTTAAAGAACAATTTAAAGCTTACTTTTTCATTTTCCCAAAGGTTATTCTACTATACTTAAAGTAAGACGCTCTTTGTAAATATCAACTAGTTGATTTTAGAAATTGTTCTACAGAGAAGTGTTAAAATCAAATTGAGTTAAAACTCGAGATGTTTAGGAAGATTTCCCTCAGGAGAAATCATTCTGAGAGGTTGTTTCATACCACATGTTAGCCTTGAGATGCTGACCATTGCCTTACTTCCAGAAGGGTGCAACACAGAGGGAACAGTTGCCTCAAGTTGCCTGAGAGAAACTGAAAATKGGGTCCTTCAGAACATACGGATATGTAATAGGAGACAGAAATGGCATCTTTTTGGTGGGGAAGGGAGGAGTCCTGGTGACCTTAAGGGACACACAGCAAAAGTTGGCAATTCCTGCCCTTCTCACAGAAGAAGATGACGTGCCCTGTCCCAGCCTGTCTGCTGGTGGGAGCAGGGGTGGCACAGAACGGGACAGGGCACACACAGAAAACTGGTGCTAGTGAAGCCTCTGCTTTCGGCCATCCCCGGCCGACACTGTTCCTAGTGTCATGATCAGAAGGTGACAAATGCTCCCTTCCGACAAATTTAATCGAATGTAAGATTACAGACTTAGGAACATACTATATAGTTGTTCTATAATGTCATTTTAGAATGGATGTAGCATTGAGTGCCTTTACCTAAAGGTTTCATCACTTAATCCGTTTGGAGTTCTTATACATATATTTTACATATGTTATATGTGTAACTTACATATGTCTTTAAATTTTAATTTAATTTAATTGAACTTTTAAATTCCCCAACTTGAAGCTTTTTCTTGAGGAATAATCCGTGTAATACTGTTATCCTTAATTTAATGATACACTGTGAACCCGTGTTTAACGTATTTTTATTTGGGAGCAGATACTAGCCCCTTTGAAGGCAGCAGTTGCTGTACCTGGGCGGGTGTAACTTCTGGCCTAAGCAAGAGCTGCTCTTGGTAAAGCTGGAGAGAAGGAAGTTTGTGACTGGCTTTGGTATCCGGCCCAGGTGCCCTGTGTCACACAGATGGCCGAACAGTCCTACGAGGCTGAAGCCGGGTAATTCTGTTTCATGGTCAGCTATTTGTCTGCTACCTCTTCAATGTGGAAGTAGTATAGCAAGTACTCAATAATTTACATACTGTACAGTATAGTCAAATATAAATGATGCATTATTCTTCCATTTATCCCCATTTGAAATAATGGATTACCAAATCTTCAATTTATTGTTTATCAGCATTGTGATTATTTATACCGTTTGCTGAGTTTACAAAGTAATGCATCACTCAAGAAGCTGAGTTGCACTTTACTGATTTATAATGGATATTTTAGTGATCACTGCATGATCCTTGCATTGTTTATTTATTTATTTAGGTTGTGAATATGTGAATATTGAGCTTGAAAGGAAAGCCAGACGATATGGGGCCAAAATTAATGCTGAGAGAGATAATCCCCCCTTTTTATTTCTTGTTTTGTATTACTGATTTTTACTGTTGTCATTTTTACATTAAAAAAAGATGTATTGTAAAAAGAAACAAGAATGCTGATAATTTTACTAATGAGACTAAGAAGGGCTTTTAAGTGAGTGAGTGAGTGAGGATGATACTTCTTTGGGGCTTTCTCTGTTCAGGGGAAAGGTTCATCCACAGTACATCTTCCACAGAGTTTGACCTCAAGCCTAGCTAGCAGTAGCGGTTAGCCCTCCTCCAACTGGAATAATTATTAAAATTAATTGAAAGGAAAAATCACAGAACAGGTACTTTTGTGGCTATTGATAGCTTTTATGTTTTAGCACTATGCAACCTTCCATAGTTTGGACTCAGTGAATTGCTTTTTTTTGTTAAAAATTACATGAACGGTAGCAAAATGAAAAACTATCTTTCTGCAAATACAGGTAATGTATAGATCCTTGGCCTTCCACCATATCCACCATCCTTATTAACATTTGCTCTGCTAAAAGGAAAGAAGATTGAACATAAAGAAACTGAAGGTCGCCCACACAGTTGTCTCAATAGCAATCTGGGTGACTTGAACCCTGTTGAGGAAAAGTAATTACCCTTTGGCTTCTGCTGACCTCAACTAACCTTTGCTGAAGGACCAGAGAAAATAAAGGCTGACCAAGAGCCTGCCCTTCCTGCCCTGTGGTTAACCCGCTCCGTGGATGAGGAACACCCTCCACAATAGGATGTGAAAATGTTGCCATGGAAATATCAYTGGAAGAAGAAACAAAAATCTATTACAATTAATAGTGTTTTATTAGGTGGCTCCTAGAGAACTGTTTAATCCATGGAACTTGCGCTATCTTAAGATCGGGGTTTGGAAAATTCAGGGGGAATGAGAGAGGAAGGAGAGCAAGCCTCTTTAAAAATTCAAGCGCTGTTGCCAGAGCAAGGGTGGTTCGCGTGAGATAAAATAATCAGTTAGATCTTGCAAACTTTAAATACGGGAAGGGAAAGAAAAGCAGAATAAATGTGATGACAGTAATTGCAGATGCGGAGCGGTCGCTGCCCGCCGCCTCGGGAAGCGCGCTGCGACCCGCACGTTGTGCTCGCGGTGGTTTGGCAGGCTGCAAGGCTCATTCATCTTCTCCTGTTTTTCATACTCCTCAGTTCTTCAAGATTGGGTCCTACAGTACTTTTGTTGTGATTTTTTTTCTCTTTTCTTTCTATTAATTATATTTAATATCTAACATTACAGTGTTACAGTTCCATTAAATCATTGGCCTAGTTTGGTTTGTTTCAGGCAGAATTTTGTGCTGTCCTTTTTCCTCAGTAACTGGTAGCTTCAGTTGGAGCTGACAGTGCTGCACATTTTCAGCAATTTATCAGATTTTAGCAATTTTTTTTTGTATATGACTATACAAAGGAACAAGAATTGTTGATGACCTACAATATTGTACTTTCTAGTGCACRATAGAGCATTTCAATTAAGAAAATTGTGACATTTCCTTATTAATGCACAAATTGCAATGGCTTAATTTATGAAAAAGTTTTAAATGCATGTTYACCTAAGCCGTTTTAAATTACCTTGTTGCTGTTAAGAGAAATGAGAAATCTTGAAAGATTCAGATTAAGCGATAGGAATACACAATTGTATGTGTATGTTTTCTAGTAGAACGTGAATTCAAAATAACACACTAGTCTTTTAAAAATGCTGCACAAAGGGATGCATCAGCTTCCTTTCAGTCTGCTTTCAAAAGTGCAGAATGTTTTTCTTCAATATTTTCTATGTTTTGTCTCTCAGTAGCCCAGCTGTGGATTTTCACCACGTCAGTGCTCTTCAGCTTAAGTGTATTTTGAAATGGTAGTTTGAATAGGGAACAGAGTGTTTCTGTGCTGCATAGAAACAAACTTTTATTTGGGAATGAAAAGACCTGTATTGCAAATGTGGCCATTTTCTTATCTGTTTGCTAATTCTAACAGTATTATGCAATTTTTAAAGTTTGCTTATTTGAAAACACACTGCACTCTGTCTAGGTATGGAATTGCACCAGTGATAATACACCCTGAATTTTGTTTATGAAACATGAACTTAAAACTTACTATCTGTTGCTGTATTTATTTCTACTTCTGTGAACATTTAAAATGACTTTGATCAGATTTCTTTCACTACGCGAGCCTATATTTCATGTTATCTGAACAGTCTAGGTCCTGGATCAAAGTGATAGGTTTTCATTAATTTTCAACAATTATTCCTATCTAATTGGCACCAAATGAGTGCTTGCTCATCTAACTCACCTGGTTATGGTGCTGTGGCAAAGCATCGCTTGTTTCATTGACTGTTTCACTGTTCTCCTTGGGTTAGTGCCAAGATTTTCATGTTAATCTCTTTCTGTTTCCAGATGCTGTAGGTCCATGGCATTCTGGCTGGAGCTCAAAAGTGAAGCAAGTCCATCATCACATGTGGAGTTTCTCTTGCTGCTGTATTTACTGGAGAGAGAGAAATACAAAACAGACAGAGAGGAATTATAATGTCTTACTCCAAGGTAAGTACATGGGTAGCCTGCTGTGTTCTGCTGTGTGTACTTGGAGGAGTTCGAGAAATTGCTTTAAAATATGCCTGTCATATCACTTCTGGATTAGAAGTTGTCATTAAGTGTTTGCATCTTCACTTGTGGATTGTGTTCGATCATCTTTTAGTGGGGAAAAAGGAAGAACCACTTCTTTTTTCATTTTAGTCTGACATAATTCTAAGGCTTTAGAAATGTCTGAATTCAACCAGATTTTAACTTGAGGCATCTATAAAGACAGAGGAGTAAGAGAGCTAAGAAACATTACTTATTGTTACTGAATGTTTGAAAACGAAGAATTTTCAGGCTAAATTATTAATGAGCTGTAGGTACTTATTCTGCTTTATAGTGTGTTTCTTATATTCATCCTCTAAAATGTGTTATTGCCTGTTATTGTCAACTTACTGGGGAATTAAATACATGCTCTATAATTAAAGTTTTTTTTTTTTTTTTTTTCCACTGAGGCACTTTTTTTTGATCTGACCATACAGGTGTATGTTATGTTATGCTAAGCATAGTATAAGTTCCATAAAAGAAGAAGGTAGGTAGTATCAAAGCAAAATAATATCAGAAATGTTTTCATTTGAGCTGCAAAGTCTGATCACATGCAATCACATTCTTTAAAAACCTAAAACATTTTTTCTTAAATTATGTTTTGTTCACATATTCATTGATATTTTCCCCATAAAACAAACGGAAGAATGTAGTTTAGTAAATGATGATGAATCTTGCTAGCCTATTGTCATACACATGTGGTAGAAAATCAGGAATTAAATCATTTCTATATTATTCTGAACTGATGAATTCTTAGACATATATAGAATAMAAGGCTTTTAAGTACCCTGCAATTCTTAAAGCTTTAATTGATCCAGCCTTGCAAAATTGTGTGTATTTAACTAGTGGCCTCCTATTGTTCTATAGCATTATCTAAAAATACTATGCCTCTAAGAACAAGACTAATAATATCAACATTTAATTATTGTATGAATGGTACAGGGAGAAAAGAGACACATTTCAGTTATTAATGAGAGTTGTGGCAGAAATAGTAATTATAGCAAGCTTACTGCATGGGAAACTGTAATATTGAAAGTACTGATGGAACATCTGATTCTCAAAATTTAAATACAGCCTAAACATCTAAGGCATTACAAAAATGTTTAGGATTTATAATGGCAATTTATACAAGCCATCGAGGAAGTATTATAAAATAATGTGGCATTTATGTAGCATACTGCTGTCACTGTAAAGTCATCTGCTAGATATTTATTAATAACACAGCAAGAAAGCATAGAGTATAGTTTGGATAAGTGTTTATTAGTAGCCTACATCACAAAAAAAGGATAAGTAAATCTTTATCTTGAATAGTTTAGTTTTTAAATCAACAGTAGTATYAGATATCCTGAAAGTCACTATAGTCAGTTAAATACCTTATAATGCTGTATCCCTGGTAATCCAATTTATAAAACTATATTCTCAGCAGAAAGTCCTGGAGTACATGGTAGTTCTCTTCAGGAAGCCCTTTCTGCCTTTTCTTGTCATGAAGCAGTGATGGCACATTTTTATCCTGTTGATAATTTGAGACTCCTTAAACTATTTCTTGTTGACCCCCTGGATTGGTCTGTATTAGGGTGGAGGTAGCTGGAAGGTTGAAGGACCGCAGACCACACATTCTTCCTTTTTTACTGTGCCTTAATATTCAATATAGCATTCAATATTCTGAAGCAAAAAGAGAAAAGCTGGTCCATCATATATTCCACACATTGCTAGTCTTTCCTTTATGTCCTGCAGTGCCAGAGAGGGGGATTATTGCTGCAGAAAAAAAAAATCTGGCCACAGTGTAGGAATAATCACTGCAGTCCGGCTCACCCCCACACCTCTTTCTCTCTCTTTCTCTCTCTCTCTCCCTCTGTTTGAGGCCCCAGCTGATTCAGTCTGCATCCATCCATACATAAATCATTGCCCTTATTCTATTGGTTACATGGTACATGGCAAGTATTGATTTTTTCCGTTGCCTCATTGCTGGAGAACCCATGGTTTTTGTGAGACTGAAAATGCAAAATTTTTTGCTGGAGATCTTGTCAAGGTACAAAAATGACAAGYGAGGAGGGTGCTATTTTAAGGTTTGTGTGACTTGAAAAAATTGACCTTCTCTGTTCTGCTCTACAATTGCCTGGGTCCCAAGAAGTCGAGGCTGGTTTAATCATTACTGCTTTAGGTAGGCTTAGTGGCTAAGCAGCCGGAGAATAAGTAAACAGAAGCAGGGCCTGATCATGCTGAGAAAGGCATTGCTTATTTCTTAAAAGTTTAATTATCTTCTGAAATGTTAACAGAAAGATGAGAAAAGATAATGACATTTTAAGAGAGGAATGGAATCCTCAGCACAATTAGGTAGTATACTGTAAAAATGGAYTCTTTTTTTTTCCTATCTGCAGATTGCAAAAATATGATACTACGTTTAACTCTTGAGATAGATCTTCATGGCATTTTGAAGTGTGTTTGCTAAGCCTTTATCAGTACGGTCACTGTATTGAGTTAGTCTTCGTCGGCATTCGAATTTGCCTGAAAATGCCTCCCAAAGATGGCACCTGGCTTCCTCACGAAGTATTGGACGAATAGGAAGAGTAGATTATGATGTTCGATTATGAGATCTGTTCTAGTTCAGTCAAACAGAATTCCTTGTTATAAGCCTTGCTCTTACAGGGAGCCTGATCCAGAACTACTGTAGTCATCAAAAACGTTTTCATTGATTCAATAGGTGCAGGATCAGCTAGAGATTACACAGAGGCCAGTATTTTCCTGTGTGGGATACTATCACTTTCCCCCTTCTTGAAGAAAACGTAAAATAAGAGAGGATGGCGTGGTTATATGCAGATATAGAATTTTATTTTATTGCATCTCATATATTTTAACTCAAATGTATGTGGATGTCCATGTATTTGCTTTGATGCTTGTAATGCAGAATGACCCATATCCACCTCACCCCCACTCTTAATTACTGTATTTTGCTTATATTTTTTGGAAACTTCTGCCCCTTCTCTTCTGTATTGCACCACTTTTAGACCCCAGTCTTCCCCTAARCGATGTGCAGATGACATTTAAGCCATTGTACCTTGTTTCACAGAATCACAATTTCTGCCAATTGCACTTCCTGAGCAGCTCGTATTTTCTATGATTTGTGGAGGCATAAGGCAAATACCTTAAATAATAACACAGCTTTAGAGCTCCTGTGCTGCTGGGGCTGTCGAAATGGATGATAAAGCTAAAATTATCAGCAGGGAATCTCCAGCCAGAGGCCGTGGCTYCCTGTACAGGCCGTGCAAAGGCCGCACCTGCAGCACGCGGTCACTGSTGTAGCGCTAAAGCAGGGCTGGGTAACCTGCCCCTTCCCCTGCCCGGCACCAYGGCCACGCGAAAGAGTCTGTGCTGACCAGCCCTGGGTCATCTGACCCGTCCTGTGGAAGTGATTGCACAGAAAGGGTTTGTTACCAGGCTGGATGTTAARCATTGGCACCAATCCTTTGGTTTAAGGTCACTCCTTTAACCTTTATTATTTTTAGGAAGGAGAGTGTTTCAGCTAGTGGRGGTTTACGTTATCAGCCTGCCACCAGCAGTTCAATGGTTAAAACACAGAGAAAAGACATTAAATGAACAGTATTCTGAAGTGAAGTAGTAGCAATGGGCTGTCATCAGTTTCTTACGGAGCGCCAGCATACAGCATGCTTTCAGAGTTTGTTGCCAGGTTCATATGGATGTTCCCATGACTTGATCATTCTTTTTTTATTCCTTTGTTTTTTTCTCCTTCCCCTTTCCAGTCATGCAGTGTTTCTGTTGGCCTTTTGTACAGAAGGTGGGATGCTCTGCTTACTAGGGTCAGTGGGTGCATCACACTCCCCAGGCCTGAGACACTGACTGTGGGACTGCCCGAGGTTGATTCTTGGTATACCTCGAGTTCAGTTGTTACCAGTCATGACAATAAGACAAGTAAGAACTTGCTCAGTTCACTGACAGAGACAAGAATTGGTTTTATTCACTGGATTGCTGTAGTAGAACTCACTGCACAAATCCCTGCTGGGAGCTCCTCGGCATGGTGCCAGATTGTTGTTTTTGAGAGCTTAATGATCCCGAAACACAGGCTGTTGTGCTTGGGTTTGAACAAGGGAACACCTTAGATTTTCTCCTCCCTCAGAATGAACATAAATCACGCTGAGCCCTGCAGGAGTCCTTCCAGTGTGTTTATGAAATTGCCAATTGTTTTCAGAAAGAAAATGGAATATAGTGTGATWCCAGACCATGGGATCCAGATCCAGATCTTATGGTGGAGACCATACCCATTTCCCTACAGTAACACAGACAGTTGTTTGAAACTTGGTGGTATTTTCTTCATACTGCTCACAGGCTGCTTTTCCATCCTGGTTTGTGATACCAAGGTGGATCTAGTGCAGCCAGGTCAGCCAGTCCCTTTTGCAGATGCCTCTTGAAGAAGRGCAAGCACTGACCCTTGAAGGTGGGCTTTGGAATTAGTAAATGACAATGATAAAGSGTGAAGTTTTTTTTTCCAGTGATAGACAACAATAATATCTTTGTTGAAAACATACTGTCCTGTTACGTAATAATATGAATTGAARACCGTGTTTTTGTAAGATACAGGTGAAGCAGCCAGGGAGGGYTGACCAGTGGCATTGCCTGGGCACAAAGAGCAGGCCCTTCTCTCCAGGGATGGCAGGGCAGGCGGCCCAGGGCAGCAGCACGTTGCAGTGTTAGGCCTGGCCTGCAGTTAGCATGAGCTGCAGACTCAGCCTGCACCCACTGTCCTGATCAGTTTCCCCCAGCTTTACTGACTTTATATCCCCACAGTGCACAACAGTATTATAAAACAGGTCTTTCTAGTATCTCCTTTTCATAGGTGAAGAAATCAAGTGACAGCAAGGCTGATATTGAAGCTGAGGATGTGTTTTCAAG